CTCATTCCCAAAACTCAAACACTCACAGGCACGTCACCAACGCATTCTTCGCCTATCACTCCACTACCACCATCCCCACTGAGAGAATCTGCAACCACCTCATCATCGCAAATGAACAACAGAAGGATGATGCCCTGGCAAAGATCATCAGCGCCCTCCAGTCACCCACTCCAAGCGAACCTCATGTCGATCCTGACGACCACCGAGCTACACTTTTCAAAAAACATTTGCACCAATTTTTTCTAGAACCAGGCACCTCTGCTTTGATGATAAGAGACAGTAAACACTCTCCGAGATTGGTTGTACCATACCAACTACGATCCAGATACCTGTACCAGGCACATGAGGGCAACAACCACTCAGGTGTCACCTGTATGCGAGAACTCCTTTCCAGCTACTGGTGGGAATTCAAAAACCGCGACATCAAGGCCTATATCGATTCTTGCGACACGTGTGCTAAGTGCAAGGGCAACTATGGTAGACGTACCCACTGGCCCATTGGCCACTGTAAACGAGGAAAGAGACCATTCGATCTCGTCTTTATAGACTTTGTCACAATGCCCAACTCAAAGGGAAAACGCTACATCCTAACCATCTTGGATAGCTTCAGCCGACACTTTACAGCCATACCATGCGTGAGAGACTGTGCTATTGACGCTGCCCGCGGATTGTACCAGTTCTTCCTTCGACACAGAGAGATTCCACGCATAGTATCCTCTGATCGAGGCACACACTTCACTGGAGAAGTCTATCGACAATTCTGTAACCAGATGTCAATCATGCAAGAACTTCACTGTCCTTGGTGCCCGCAAAGCTCAGGAAATATCAAGAGACAACATCGCATGATGAAGAATGCACTTTATATGTTATGCAAAGACAGGAACTGTGAATGGACGGACGTTCTAGAATCTGTCGTTTCGTCCATGAATGCCACGACTAACAGCGCCACCGGTGTCTCCCCACGCTATGCCATTACTGGCCATCACCCCAACATCAGCCTACCTACACTACACAGAAAAAAAAATAACAAGTGACGATCCTGGAGCATATGGAATGCAAATTAATGCCATAGTAAAGCAGGTTCACCACCATGTCACCCTGGCCAACGATGAAGCTGACCACAAACTTGAGACTAACTTAAATCACCTCACATACAAGGACCCAATACAAGTAGGCGACAAGGTTTTACTTCATCGGTCACACTCAACTGTTGCCCAATCCTCTCATCTGCCCTGGATAGGAAATTACACCATTATAAAAACAAACAATATGATGTGTCAGGTGCAAAACGATAATGGTGATACAATCTGGATTCACCATGCACATATCCGATGACTGGCTCCACGCCCAACACATCTATCTAATACAATCCCTCTGCCTCCACCATGTAACAGTCACCAGGATCATTCTCGTCCACATCCCTCTGGGACACATAACTCAGCAAATAACTCCATACCAAAACAAATGCCAATAAGAAGAACACGAGGACGACTTCCCACATGCTTCAAAGACTTTATCATGAATTAATCACCCAAATATACACGAATAACGCTCACTGTAAATCAGACCGAGAACTGGGGTGGGGGGCTTGTTATAAAATAAAAAAAGACATATCTCTGCTGATTTACAGGCAAATAAACTAACATACTCAAAAGCGAGAGCCAGATGTGAACGGGACAAGGCCCCGTCACAAAATGACCATTATCTTCATTTACGCATGTTCCCGACATACGAGTTCCAGTCGAAAAATAAAATATTTTAAAGTGTTTCTATTTTTCGACCAATAAAAATGCTTCCCTCCTAATTATACTCACATCGTTTTTCGAGCCTGTTAAGCCATAAAATAACGCCATAAAAGGGGTCACACAGAAGTACAACGAGCAGTCAACAGGAGGCCAGGGAAGAGACCTGTCACGGTCAGGCTGAGCGGTCAGCAACAGTCAGCAGGGGGAGCGCCAGCGTCAACCAGTGTGAACTACTATGAGAGATCAACCCAGATTTGAAGCCGGCTTATGAACTTTACCACAAGGTGGCTGTCCCAAACTCACACGTTCCTGTTGAAATAAATCACGTAAATCTATTTCTACTGTTGTCATATTTCTTTCTTGCAACTTATGCTTGTCTATAACAGTATCATCTCCCAAAGCCAATACTATCAAGAAGTTGCCTCTTTAACAAATCTACTCTGGTGAAATTCAAACCCTGAGTCTCATGGTTGGAAAGCTAACATTCTAACCACTGAACCATGTATCCATGTATTGTAGCACTTCTTTTAACTTTTTTTTTATTTTTAATAATTTCACTCCAAGCAAGACGATAATGCACTAAGATACAAGGGGTTACTGGGTTTGAAAGAAAATGAGAATACTTTAGGAGGAACCGAAAACCCAATCCTAAACAGAGAACAAGGGATAAAACTCTACTCCTGTTCAAAAGACAGGAAAGGAGTATGAATAAGTGATAGATAAACCTATCTACTCCTATTGAAAAAAAAAGTTTTAATTAGAAAATAAAATTATGTAGTGTAGGTGGAGACATCAGAAGTAAAGAATTAAATTAAGAACATATGTGATTCAAATGAATGTATTCAGATAGGGACAGTTAATTACATAATTGCTGTTCATATATATTTAGATTTTAACATAGTTTAAGTTGCATTATCTCCTAAAAATGAAAAAATAAACAAGGGAAAACTAAATTAACATTCATGCAATTTACTTTATTTTTGAACACTGGGGAGTTGCCTTATTTTACAATAATGTTTCTTTGCAATTGATATACCTTCTTTCTCAGCTAACCCTTATTTCATACTTTGAACATTATTATATTTCGGTTTTCTTAGTTTTATTTTTAGAGGCTGTTTTGTTTTTCCATAGTATTTTCTACCAAAAGTTATAAAGGATGATTTAAATTATATGCTTGGTCATATTTTCTTCTGTGATAGATTTTTGTTGATTCAACTGTGTAGAGCTGTTATCTTGAGGTTGTATAGTCTGTAACTTATTTGAATTTATTTTTACATGTTTCTGGTCTTTTGTTCCTGTCCTAAACATGTATATCTGCCTGTGAATATTGATGCATGTGAAGTAGTTATTTCCCTTATGTGAATTATCTACCTTTGATAAATGTTGAGGTTGCTGGGTATGGTGACCTATCTACATAAGAATGGACTCTTCCTCCTTCATAAATACTAACCTGCGAGACTTCCTAAGGAGGCAGTTGGGATGCAGTGTAACCTGACAGTTCGGACAAACACTTCTATCTGCTAATAACACTCTTATTTTGTATATATATATATATATGTTCTGTTATTTTGTTCAGCCTATCTTCTTCTTTCTGTGTCTTTCTTTCTGACCCCTAACAGGCCACAACAGTATCATGGCAGATAATCTTTTCCTTTACACTCTAGAAGTGGTAGGAAGAAGTTCAGCTGTTGTTGTTTTTCACTATATAAAAATATATTTCCAAAGGATTTAGAAATGCATTACAAATAATTTACTGTCACTGATCTCCAGATTTTTGTCATGTCTCCCAAGTAAAAGTCTCTAATATTGAAAGTAGAAAATTTGATGATAAATATAAAGGGGTGCTGTCTTTGGCTTGACCCGCTTTTCAAAAACTGACCTAGTGAGCAAATATTAAATTTTCTTTCTGCCTGAATTTTTGGGATGAGGACTTTACAGTCAGCCTAACATCCTTAACTCTGTTGTCTTTATTATAACAATTTGAAACATGTGGATCTTAATCTGAATGTAAGTAACTAAAATACAGTTTTTATTTTTATTTTGGAAGTGCTTTTTAGTTGGGCTGATAGCTTTTCAGTATCTGCTTATATAATGCAAATATGTACATCAGTTTGGTCAGATGTTACAAAAACCTTATAGACGCATATTGACATTCCAACATAAAGTCAGTTTTAAGCTTTTTGAGAAAAAAATGCCAGGATCACCTTGGTATTAACCACAAATATCTGACCCTTTGCTTTGTAACGGGTAGATGCTGTCAGGTGAAATACTTTGTACATTTCATGCAAGAACTAATATCCAAGATGCTTTCATTAACCAGATTTAAAGAGAATATTGTGATTATACAGAAACATCATGATACTGTCTTTTTGTTCAACAAGATTTTAATGTGTTTGATCCTTTTTTGTATAATCATTTCATCCCCACTAAGATTTAAGGGGTTACTGAGTGTAAAAGAATGGGAGAAAAAGAAAACATTATTAAGGAGAAAGAACAATAAAAGAACTGGAATTAAGAAGACAGTAGATAATCTATTGATATTGCATTTACATTTTTGAAGATCAAAGTTCACTAGAAAGCAAAAATCTGGAAGAGAGTTCCACAAGTGTAAAAGAAGAAAATGTTAGCATAGAACTTACGGTTGCATCTAGCCATTTCAACTGTAAAATGGTGGGACCTAGCTGCCAATCTAGTACTGCACTTAAATTCATATAGTTAAGGTACCAAAGAGTATAGGATTACTGTATTTCATGTAATTCTTGCTATTATGTCTCTCTCTTACCAGAGGATTTCTATGTTTGATGTAATTCTTACTATTGTGTTTCTACCTCTTTCAGGTCTTGTTCATTGTCAGTAGACAATAAACGTTTACAGAACAAATAGATTCCATTCTTATTTATGAACAAGATCTCAGTACACAACACACAACAGCAATGTTTTGTCCCTTTGAAAATGATATTTTTCTTATTCAAAGAGGAAAGTTAAACAGAACAATTACGATGAAAATATTTATAGAAAGATACAAGGAAGCTACATTATGGTGGTGAGAAAGTGACTGAATCCAAGGTCAGGTCAGGACTGATAACATTGCAGATTTTTCTTTGTATTTTATTAAGAATCTCTAAATACATAACGGAAGCACCTGAACAGATATGGCAGCAATATTCAATACATGGATGAATGGTAGACTTATAAATATTTAAGATAGATTCTGGTAAGAAAAATAAAATTTTTTGTATATTTTTTGTCTTTCAGAACACAATTATTGACAGGTTGAAATCTGATTTACAACAAATTAGGAATGATAATGACATTGGTTTGGTGATCGATGGCTGTACTCTGGCTCATGCTTTACAAAAAGAATGCAGAAAATATTTCCTTGAATTAGCAGTGAAATGTAACTCTGTTGTATGTTGCCGTGCAACACCACTTCAAAAGGTACATCTTAGATTCAAATAATCAGCTTTCAAAATAACAATATATGCACTTATAATGATTTAAACTCTAAATGCAAAAGAGATTTTATAAACTGATGAGCTTATATTTATCTTTAAATATTTTTATTTCAGGGGGATGTTGTCAGAGTAATAAGAGATGATCTGAAAAAATTAACTCTTGCTGTTGGTAAGTATAACTTAATAAAGATTCCTCATATAGGTATTTAATATTAACTTTAGAGAAATGTTTTCATACCAAAAGCATCAAGTACAAAACACAAAACTAATGTCATGAATGTTATATATCCAAGTAATGTAATTTTGCATTTCATTTTTTAGATATTTTTTCAATATTTAAACATCATGATTGTTATAAATGCTATAAGTACCCTCTGGCCATCATCAGGTGTCCATTGTTTTGACTGATATTGTACACTATTTACATTGTTCAGACTATCATCCTCATCTTTGTTGCCATATTTATCACATTATTTTATTGTGGCCATTGTACACTCCAGCCTTCTTCAGGTGGTTGGAATGTCGAACTGAACCCTGGGGTAGACTGTTCTAGTTCCACATGCCATGTCTAATGGATGTCAGTTATCAGTTATCTCCTGTTAATTCCCCTCTCCAAGTTCTCCACTGTCTTAACCAGGTATTGAACTCACATTCTTTGGGTCCTGTCAACTAACACCTTTATCCACTGTGCCATGTGTCCTTGAGGACATCTGTATATGAATTTCTGGGTATTATAAATCTAATGTCTTCAGCAACCATTTTTTACTATTGCTCATATTGCAATTTTTGCTGTTATTATCACTTTTCTCCACCACTCCTTATTACTGGTTCCCATATTGTATTCATTTCTATGCTTGGTCGGCTCAGGAGATTTTTGTGGCCAAGCATATGTGCTGATTCCTTAAGTTTACAAATTTTCCGATGATGTTCTTTGCCCATGATTTCAACTTGATGCCAGAGAGGATGGTGATTTCCCTTTTCTCTCCATATGTAGTCAGCCATGCCTGATTTTTACACTTCTCCTTATGTTACAGCTTTTTGGTGTTCTTGAAGCATTAAGAGGGCGGCCTGTCTCCCCATTATATTACTTTCCACAGTGGCACAGGATGGCATACACACAGTCTTTAGTCATGTTCTCCTCTATTGGAGGTCTTAATCAGAAGAGGTATCTGCGAAGTGCCGTCCAGCTTTTGAAGGTTGTCCTGATGTTATATGGACTGCAGATCCTTTGTAATTTCTCCAATAACTCCTTCACAATAGGCAGGCAGACTGTTTTCTGAGTGTTGTTGTCCTCCCACTGTACCCACCTATCCCAGTACAAGAGGAGGACAATAACACTCAGAAAACAGTCTGCCTGCCTTATGGGAAGGGGTTATCAGAGAAAATACAATGGCTCTGCAGTCCATATAACCTCAGGACAACCTTCAATAATACCCAGAAATTCATACACAGATATCCTCAAGGACACATGGCACAGTGGATAAAGGCGTTAGTTAGATCCAGTAACAGGCCCAGTGTGAGTTCAATACCTGGTTAAGGCAGTGGAGAACTTGGAGAGGGGAATTAACAGGAGATAACTGATAACTGACATTCATTAGACATGGCACGTGGAAGTAGAACAGTCCACCCCAGTGAGTTCAGTTCAACATTCCAGCCACCAGAATCTGAAACATTGTGATAAATATGACAACAAAGATGAGGATGATAGTCCAAACAATGTAAATATTGTGCATAATATCTCATCTCAGAAATATAGACAGATATAGAATATTGTGTTGTTTTGTCACTGTGATGCCAGTTCTTGTTCATTCCTGCTGAACCAGAGTATATTATTTCACTATCTGATCAATTGAACTTTTGAATTTTTACAAGGTTGTGTGTTTAGTGTGGATTTTTTAGGTGAAGGTGTGTTCAATATGTAATAGAAGATAGAAGAAGCATAGAAAAACTTGTTTTTACTACAGATGTTTATTCCATTTATGTTGACTGTATTGAAATAAAGTTTAAAGGTCTCTTATTGAATGTCCATTATCCTTTTGGTTTTGAAATGGTTTATGGGAAGTAAGGATACAAATGGCTAAACATGGTCAGGCTCAAGTCAGCCTCATACTGAGTTGGGAAGACCAAGTATGTCCATATGGGAAGTAAGGATATGAATGAGTAAAGCTAGTAGAGCTCAAGTCAACTTCACACTGAATTGGGATGACTGAATCTCTACTGCATGAGTAAGGCTGCTTCCCACAATCACATTAGAAAGTGGATAGAGTTCAGTCATCAGTAGAGTGGGGAAACTACCATTCCCCAATGCAAACATTATTAGTGCATGGTTCACATCTTGAAGCCAAGAGGAGAAAAATTCTGTCCTTTCTGAAGTAGGGTCATAAAATCGCACATGGGACAAGAAACCCTTTTTTGGTTTCTTTATAACTTGCATCATGCAAAAATTAATTTATTTTTTTATTTATTATTACAATTTTATTTATTGGTTTTATTTCATTTCCCAACAAACTTACAACTGCTAGATGACTGCAACATATACTTAGTCAACTTTAATATCCGCAATGTCACTGTCCAATAAAACTTTAAAACCATGTTCTTTATTTTTATTTTATTAAAAATATGAATTTCTAATTCTTGTTTTTCCTACATTCAACCAAGTAGACACAAGTCCCTTTGACACTGGCAAAATCTGTTTTTCTATTAATAAATAATAACAAAAGCCATTATTTTATCATCTAATACATAGCATGCTTTTCTTTGTTTCTAGCAAAACTCTCCTGGTTCCTAATACTTTTGCCTTCTAAAAGCTAAAGTATTAAAGAAGAAAAAAATATTTCATTAGAAACAAAGAAAAGTACTGGACTGTTATATAATATTCAATCCTCATATATGGTAGTAAATGCTAGACAGTTTCCTCACAAATGAAGAGAAAACTTAAGCAACTCAGCTGTGGCTCTACAGAAGGATACTGACAATATTATGAAGGGAAATGCGAACAACAAGATTTTACTTAAAGACAATTGAAAATCTGAGTACATAATGAGGAAAGAGGACTTGAAGAATTTGACATTCATAGAATCTATTGAAAGCAAGATGGATGGAGGGAAACCATATAAATCTATAGCTGATGAGTTTATATAAACGGATGGCAGAACAGGGAATGGGAGGGATAGTAAAAAGACAAACATTTTGCTACATTGATAGGAAATTGCAAAGAGCCATAATTATTCAAATCCTGAAGGTATGCAGTATTGTTTCCCCATCAGGGTGTAAGCAATCATGCCTGCATAATTAAATATATTCTTGTTTTTCCCTGTGGGTTTAAAAAAATATGTGATGCTTACAGTAAAGATAGGCAAAGATAAGGAGTTGACTATGTATTTCAGCAAGACACTGCTCCTTCCTATATAACATACTTATCCAAGGAATGGCTAACCAAGAGTATTTTGCAGTACCAAGGACATTGAAAGCCATCATTATGAACATGATGATCAATATGAATGAAAATCAGCTGATCTGAGCATTGGGTCAATTTTGAGGACACATTGAAGCTAACAGCTGTTTTATCAAATCAACATTTTCTGTTATAAAAAAAGCTGATCCTGTGTACAAATTCATTCATTTATTCACTTAGCATCGCTGTGGTCTCCACTCCATCTCACAATTGTGATTGATGGTGACTGACATTCAAGGCTGAATAGTACAATGGCTGGCCAGTTCCTTTTGTACCAAGGATATGGAGGTTACCCCATCCTTCCTTTCAAAAGTTAAAGAGGCAAGACCAAGAAGGCAGCAGGTGGTTTGAATTCAGAGTTTTCCTTTTCCTTGACTGTTGATGGCATATGAAGGCCATGCTACCCAGACTACACCCCCCCCCCCGGCCACTTTTCATCCTTACTGACAAAATACAAAGGAATACAGGGCATTATATCTGAGGATGGCTTAGTTGCAGGAATTGCTAGAAAGTTTTCAGTGTTGACAACAAGCTGCCTTCCAGGCTCTACACCAGGTTTTCTGCCTGGATTTACTTCCATAGTCATTTTTGTGTTTTGGATATGACCACAAGCTAGTGGAGGTTTAAAATTTGGCGTACAAATTAGTTTGAAAATATGCAGATGTTTCTACTGAATATCTTCTTTTTTTTTTCGATTATAATTTATTCTGCTATCCAGTACACACTCTCTGCTTTTATCAGAGGATTGGTTAACTAAAAAGATGTATTTCAGTTTTAGTCTAGTACTGGTAACTCAACCACGATTAAGCTCAACTTGATTGACGAATAAGTCAAGATATACTCAAAATAGTTTTGTTTTTGTATAGCTTCAGTCTTCTCCTATGTGCTGTGTCTCTTCAGGACATGAGCAAACATGGCTCTCCACTATTTCATGTCTTTTGTAGATCTTAGTAAATTTTGTCTTTTTGCTATCTCTCCTAATACCTGTTCTGCCAAGCTTGTTAGGTTATATGCAGCTTGAATCTGTCTCTCTTACCTTCAGTATTTTCTGTAAGTATCAAATTTTCCAAGGTGTCCTTTTTTTGTTTCCCTTTTCTCTAAAATTTTGTCATTGTTCAGTTCATGTTATTCTCAGCATCCTTCTGTAGGACCACATTTCTGTTGCCACAAGTCTCTTCTTCATCTGTGATCAGGTTGTCCAGCGTTCAATGCCATATAGGAGAACCAACATTACATTTTCTGTCTTCTGTTAAAACACTTCCTAGATATTTAAATGTTTGTACTTACTTGATTTTAGCATCTTCAATTTATAATTCACATGTTAGTCTCTCTTTGCTGATAACCATAGATTCTATCTTGCAATTGATGTTTAGTCCTTTCTTTTCACTTTTGTTTACTACCTTCTGTAGGTGTTCTTGTAGTTTCTTTTCTATGTCTGATATCAGCACTGTGTCATCTGCCATATCTTATGTTGTTAAGTTTGTGGCTACCATTAATGAATCCATGTAAGATTTCTAATTTTCTCAGAATTGCTTCACTGTAAAAGTTGAATAAGTTTGGAGAGAAGACACATCCTTGTCTTTCACCCCTTTCTATTTTTGCATATTTACTGAATTCATTTCCTAATCCATATGAAGTTGGTTTGCTCCCAGTCTAAGTTCTGGATTATTCTAATATCCTTCCAAAATATGTCAAAGGTTGCATTGCTGTTCCAACAGTTCTTTGTGACTGACTTTATCAAAAGTTCTTGCATAATCTATAAAACATAGGTAGACATTCTTTTGCATTTGTATTGCACTTTCTGATATCATTTTGAGCATAAATATTGCATTCTTTGCAATATTTGCATTGTTTTTGTCCTATTTCTGATTTAATTCTGCTACATGCTATATTCATCAGAAATATAAGATAAGTTTTATGTGGATCATTATGCTGATTGTCCAATGGAGTTCACATTCACTTGTACCTCGTTTCTTAGACAGCCCTATGAAAATGGATATACTTAAGTCTTCTTAGAATAGCACTAAGTTACAATTATGAAGCAATCAGGGAGGATCTTTCTCTCCATTTATCTAGCATATGATCTTATACAAGTTTGATTGATTTGTTTTTTACGGCTTATCAACCCTTTGTGAGTTATATAAAGCTGAAATATATTTCAGCTTGTTGGAGTTTGCTTGCAGCATCCAGTGTATGCAAGTGGCCATCTATTTAGATCTAACACAAGATTAGTAGCAAAATCTTGAAGTGAATTTTGAAAATGAATAAACATTTTAATATAATTTTTTTGTTTTTTGTTTTTCAGGTGATGGTGCCAATGATGTCAATATGATTCAAACTGCTGACATAGGAATTGGTATCTCAGGTCAGGAAGGAATGCAAGCAGTGATGGCATCTGATTTTGCTATGGCTAGGTTCCGATTCCTTGCACGGCTCCTGCTGGTACATGGCCACTGGTGCTATCACCGATTTACTCATTTCATCATTTTCATGTTTTATAAAAATCTTGTAAGTGCAAACAAACATACATTTTAACATCACCATCAGCAAAAACATACATTTTAACATCACCATCAGCAAAAACATACATTTTAACATCACTAACAAGAAAATAGAAAAACTGGATATTAATTAATTAATCTGAAAATCTAAAGTAAAAAGAACAGATTTTGAAACTTAGATATAATATTTTTTTAATGAATATTTATTTTCACACCAGCCTATATAATACATTATTGGAAAAAGGGCTGGGTCTGATTGATTATATTAAATAGTCTCTCTCCAACACAAACACACTGATATTTTTCCTAGTGCCAAAAGAATTGTCTGTCACTTCCAAACTTGCCATAATACATTTTTTTCTTTAAAATCATTATCCCCAAGAGTATGAACACTTATAAGTATCTAGATGATGTATGGTAAAGAGGAAAATCTTAAAGAATATTACATATTCCTATTTCTTAAGGAAAATGTTTTAGTTATAAGACTTATCATTTCTGTTTCTCTAAGATTTAAGTTTCAACTATAATCATGGATTTCTTTTAATTTTGCATATATTTTTATTATCACCTCCATTTATAATAATTTAGAGCCTATTTTAAAAAGCTTGTTTAATTTAGTATATATAGTAAATGATATGCCATAAAATCATCTGTTAGACATTGGATTAGACTATAAGGAATTTATACAAAAAACAAGCCAGCTTGTGTGCCTGCATTTTATGCAAGAATCAATGTACATAAAAGCAGAATCTTATTTAGCCAATGGTTGAACATTTTAAATGAATTCAAATTGAATTCATATGCACATTCAAATTTTATTGCAGGCTCTGCATTCTCCTAAGTGTAGTCAAAGTTTAAAAAATAATATTTGTCTTTTATTTTATTTTCATATTCAGAATGTATGTATAATCACAGTCACATGTCCTGTAACCCATAAGGGTCGTAGGGGCACTATATATATACTGCAGTTGTTACCAGTAGCCTGCAGAAGTGGTGGGGAAAGCATCCATGTTGGGAGGGCATCCAATCAAAAAGTGAAATAAAAATTTGTTTTTTTGAAATTTGAAATTGTCCTTATTAATTTTGTCGTATAAGCACCCTACAGTACCAAAACTGGTGTGAATGTGGATCCGTGTTTTGATAAATGAGATCAGACTAGCCCCCACTTTGTGAAGTCTTAGGGGCATGCAATCAAGGAGTTGGCCCTGTACATCACCAAACCTCTGCACATCACTGGCTGTAGCAGCAGTGGTGTGACTTAGGCAAGATAACCTGATAGAGCCCAACCCTCTCCAATAATAATAGTTACTGATAATTAATAACTAATTAAAGATCTGAATAAACTGTGTTTGTGGTTTCTACTGAATGATTGAATATAAAAAAACATTTTTTCACATTTTTTAGGTTTCTACATTTGTATTGTTTTGGTATCAGTTGTTCAGTGGTTTTTCTGGTTCCTTGCAAATGGGCAGCATCTTTCTGGTTTTAGAACATGTCCTATTCACTTCATTACCCCCTATTCTCAACGGCATCCTTGACAAGGACCTGACATCTAACATTTTGCTTTCTTACCCTCATCTCTACAAACAAGGACCAAAAGGGCAGGTAAAAGAAATTTACATTATTAAAAAATATTGAAGTACCTGGAACTACATTTTTAATTAAATTTTAAATGCCTTGGAGTACCTGGAACTACATTTTTAATTAAATTTTAAATGTATTGAAGTACCTAGTATCCAGTATAATATTTTTAATTAAATTTTAAATTTATTGAAGTACCTAGTATCCAGTATAATATTTTTAATTAAATTTTTAATATTTTCAGAACATAGTTGAGAGGAGGGGAAACTCTTAGTATTATTAGCTGTTATTTTATTATGTCTTATCTACAATTTAACAATTTAAGAGTTGAATAGAAAAATCTTTTACTATCCATAATGGAGAAACAAGAATAAAAGCTTGTAATACATCAGCAAAAAAGAATTAAAATGTCATAAAAAATCCTTATATTTATGATTTGTGCTAAAAGTGTAATGCTGATTTTTAAAGTATATTAACAATTGTACTTTAGCAAAATAATCCCAGAATTTAATTATCTTTGAATAGTTCTCTGTATAATTAATAAATGAATTCATATTGAATATTTATTACCGTTTATCTTTATTAAAGTTGAAAAATAATATAGAAATTAATATTTTCATTATTCACACTATTTACAATGTTCTGACTGTTGTCCTCATCATTGTTGCCATATTCACAAAGTTTCAGCTGTTGCACATTCCGGGCTTCTTCAGGTGACTGAAATTTCAAATCAAACCCTTTATTTAATCCACCAGTTAGATTGTTCTAGTTTCACATGCCATGCCACTTTCAGATATCTCAGTATCAGTTATTTCCCTTTAACTCAACTCTACAAGTTTTTGTTCATCTCTGCTGTAGCCAGGTATTGAACTCACAACTCACTGGATTACTTCAACCAACACTTGGACCAAGTAGAACAGCCGAAGTGTTGTGAATATGACAATAAAGTTGAGGACAACAGTCCAAACAATGTAAATAGTGTAAATAATTACATTACCTCATCTCAGAAATATAGACAAATATTTTCATATCATATATTCACAATTTCCTGAGTTTTATTTTTTAAATTTCAGTTATATACTAAATGGACATTCCTTGGGACCATATTAGATTCTCTTTATCAAAGTGTTGCTATGTATTTTATTGCACATTTGGTAAGTTGGAATGATTTTATTATTCTTAAATAATATCTACCTACACAGATCTATATGCATGCATTTACATAGCTCTTAACCTGTCTTCATTTATTCTTGAAAACATATCCTAAATTTTGGATCATTCATTATCAAGATCATTTTTAGCCTAAAAAAAATTTATAAAATAAAAACAAAAAAAAAATAAGGCCGTAAATACTTGACATTAAAACATTTCCATATTGTTTGTACCTTAAGATAGAACCAAAGTAGCTGAAAATAGATTAATGCAGTATTTCTTTTGAATATGAACAAAGAAATACATCAAATGAATAACAAAACAAGTTCTACATCAAACTCCAAAAGACATGCATTTCAGAAGAGATATTTCATTTCCTCAAAATGTTATTTGTATGAATACTTACTCTTTTTATTTAGAATTTTTAATTTCTCTATTGTACAATTTCTTAATAGCTGCTTCTTAATTATAAAAAATAATTTTATAAAATGTGAGTACTTTCACAACATATAAGGTTAATAACAAAAAGGGAAAGAAATGGGGGAAGGAAAGACTGTGCTGCTCAATATACAGGATGCAGCAGAAATAATTTCCACAAATACTTCTTACATAATAGTAAGACATTAGTGGCAATGGTGTCTTCATCTAGCTAAAGTCTTACCATTATGTGTGTTATACTACTTAATCAAAATCTATTTCTGATTCACAAATACATTTCACCAGACATGTTGGCCAGATGGGAGTGCTCAGTAAACAAAACACAAAATAAAAAGGTTATCTTCCATGCAGGTACTCCAAGCATCACATCTGGTCCACAAAACACATCCCCCACAAAAATCCAAAATTGCAATAGCCAATCACAAATGTTCCCACAAAAAAAAAAGTAGTATGAGACTATATCTGTTAAAACAAAGATATAAAAATGACACTCATTGTAGATGACATTTAGCTTGACTTCAACACTTCGGCCTCATCACACAATCACCAGATCATCAGACACATCACCACAGTCCTCTCTCCTGACACCAAATGTGACCTCAGCCAACCAACCCAATAAATCAGTCAACTCCCAGACTTACTGACAAAACCCTTACACCTAATTGCATTCCTTACCAACTGCAGCTAAGGAACCACATATGCACAATTTTTTGCCACCTTTCATACATCTATGTATATATTCTGAATTTTGACCTTTGCAATGAAACAATTGTTATAATGTGGAAGTATTTCTGCTGCACTCTATATAAAGTTAAAAAATGTATTTATTATTCACAAATTATATATTAATGGATTAAAAGAAAATATGAAGATAAAATCTCTCAAAGTTCAAAAGAGACTTACCAGTTGCCTTAGTAGTTAAAGAATTTTTTTAAAATTGTATATAAAGGTTTTATAAATCATTCTGCATGTGTGGGTGGTTTAGCAACAAGGATATGTTGAACCATTGATGTTTTTGTTTTCTAGAAATATCTTCTGGGAAATAGAGGAATGTTTTGTTACATTTATTGAAATGTTACCCCTTTTCAGAATGTAGGAATTATCTTCAATAATGTTGAACAGTAGCAATAGGTAGACAAGCAATTGTGGTCATCTTTGCAGCTTTTTTGCAAATAGCCATGTTTATGTCATAGTGTTGACAACCTGTTGTTTAACCAAACCTCTCTTCAAGATATTTTCCCCCTCGTCCCTCCAAACCATCTTGCCTTGGTGATAAAGCTTATACAGCTTTCTCACACTATTACTGATAAGTCTTCATAAGTTGGTATTTCAATGAAAAACATAGGGTTTCAAATGCCTATCAATTTATTTTAGCTACATTTATTTTATAAAGATTTTAATGACTATTTCATAGTGTAATACAGTTACTATATCTATTTATACTTTAAACCAAATGTTTAAAAGAAAAACAAATTTCAAAGGACATTTATTTGTTTTCAAAAACTGGAGTTCTTTTAAAAATATTGTCCATATCAATTGAATGGAAACAGTAAATGCTTCAAGGTTGTTGTCATAGGTTCATTTTCTGTTTTCATCTTTCCTTTCAGGCCTATATGAATAGTAGTACAGGAATTTGGGAATTTGGAACTACAATTATGGTCTCTCTCATCTTTATCATTTATTTGCATCTTGGCATTGAAACTTATTCTTGGGTTTGTAAATCTTTTCTTTTGTTACTTTTCTTCCATGCTATCAGCCATTGAATCTTTCAGAACTGTCAATGTATTTTCATTTCATAATTATTCAGAATATTTGATAATTGCAGATAAAGGTATAACCAAACAAATTCTTTTTATTATTTTTTTTAATCATGTTTCTTCCACCACGAGCAGCAAATTCAAATACTAATCACATTTTTATAAAATAAAAGAACAACACTTCCATGAATGAAGCATTTTGACCTAAGATTAAAAATATATTACTAATGATTAAGAGACTCCAAAATTCATCAACTGTTATTGAACATTATTGATATATCATTGTATGAATGAATGTTTTAGACAAAATACTTTATCTAATGACCTTAGCAGTCTAGACCAAATGATTGGGATGATTCTCTTTACTAATAATCTTTTAGTCATTACCTTATTTTGTATCTTATTCTCTACATATACATTTGTGTGTGAGTGCGAGAGAAAGTAGGCGCTAAAAAGTTCTTGGTCCAACCAAGAAACCGTTCCTCAAAAATAATTATTCTGATGTTTGGTCACATTTGGAAAATTGGTTAGGTTGAGAAGCTTTCAACATACCCTAATATGTGTGTGTGTGTGACATATATTCGTACAGTAGTTTTTCATTTATACAGATTTCATTGAAGATCAGTGAAAGTTCATTATTTTTTTTATTTAATTTTCTCTGTGCTTCACTAAATTATTAAAATCTGAACCAACTAAAAGGAAATCTTTATTATTTACCATTTTATAAGTTCTAATCAACTGGCAATTAGCCAATGTTTTGTCAACTGTTCCAATAAACAATCTAATAAATAAAGTGTTTATTATTTTTATTGTCAATTCTCAAGAATAAACAAAATGTATAAATTCAATTTCATATGTTTAGGTTTTATTCCAATTCTAATCCTCACTTTTTAAAGCAATAAAAATTACCGAAGAGTGAAGGTAATTAGCATAAAAGCAGTGTCATGGAAAAAAACGTCCTTTTGACACTTTGTTTTTTACAGGCATGAAGGTCCATGTTTACTGAACTTTCATTGCTCTTAAAAACAAATATGTGATGTGTGTGCGTGTGTGAATTCTAATCTGCCACAGTTAATTACTTAACATTTGTATAATGTCATGCTTGATAAATAACTTGGATGATTCAAATGGAGCATTCACAATTTAAGTTTATCATTTTCTATATTCAATTTATCCTTTTAAGTTCTTTTATTCTTGATGAGACACACAATTGGATAGTCAAAAACAATCATCAATTAAATTCAATAACACTATATTTTTTTTTAAGTTGTATCTCTTTGTGTTCTTCAACAGACATGGATCCAGTGGTTCCTCATGATTTTAAATTTCCTCTTCTTTTGGTGTTGCATGATTGTCATTCATGCATTCTGTATGAACTGTGAGCAATTATCTAATCCTTATTGGGTGATGGAGAATACACTTGCCACGCCTACACATGTCCTTACTGTTGTTATCACTGCAGCTTTTGCTTTACTACCAAGGTATGTACTAAATCAGTGCTTCTCAAACTATCTTGTGTGATGTACTGGCAGTTTTTTTTGTTTTTTTTTTTTCAATGTGCAAGGAACAGGTGAATAAAGCTTTCCAGTCCAGCTGTGTGGTGTGGAGGCTGTGCCCCCCTCCCAAATTTTTTTTGAGATATGTCCTATCTGTACTAAACATGAGGACACAATGTTTTATTCATTCTAAGGCCAGTCATCATTGATGTAACAAGTTTTGCCAGTGTGCCACAGACAGGTACCATATTTGTGCTATATAATTATATAATAACAATCTGAGAAAATATTATTTGAACAATTGTAATATTCAACTATACCAGAAAAATATAATAAAAGTTGTATCATTTTTTTTTTTTATTTTATATTGATTTTGTAGAAATATATACCCATGAAAATACTCTTTTCTTACTCCTAGGTGTGGTTAACACACAGTCACATGGTACATGATGATGTTTTCATATGTATTTTAGTCCACTGTTTTACTGTTCAATATTCATTAGTTGTATAGCAATGACTTTTAACATGTAAGTAAATGTACACATCATAAATATAAAACTAAAATGAAAATGTCAAAAAAAAAAAAAAAAAAAAAAATAAAAGAACAAGTCAGATATCTCGGTAGTCTCTTATAGGATTGAATGTGACCACCATTTCTTTGTTTCCTGGAAATTGCATACAATGGCTCATGTGCTGGCACTGGTATGCATACCACACTTTGAGCAGTACTGTACTAAATAATGCTAAATGTACAAAATATCATATACTCTATATTATAGCTATATAAAATTATCTCATTGTCTGCAGTAAAAAATAAGTGAAAATGGAACAAACCAGCACTGTTAGAAATTTTCAAAAATTTTCAAAGCATTTTTTTTTTTTTTCTTAAATTAGTCCATATTAAACCTATTTGATTGCTATGATACACCACAACAGGTGTGCATGATCCCCTCATCAGTGATGCTTTTGACTTAGTCATAACAAGTTTCAGGTTTTCCAACATTTTTCCTGTTCACCCAAGTGACCCTACCAGAATTCCAGCAGGCAATCCTGAAGCAAATTCCCACCAAGCACACAATAACGAATAACTTATAGAAAAACTGCTATAAACATATGAAGAAATAATTTACATAATTAAATAAATCTTTCAGGTCACGTATTAAGTTTTTGCTTACCTCCCTTTATAAATTACCTCCCTTTATTTCATCCTTTAGACAAGATGTAACTGTTTTAGGCTTTTTATTTTATTTCACAATGTTACCACCCCGCATATATATATATATATATATATATATATATATATATATATATATATATATATATATATAATTTTCATATTTGCTGAAATGTACTTGACCTTTTAATTTTTATTAAAAAACAAAAGGCTTATACAATTTGTCAATTGAACATTTATCATTTTGTCTCAGTAACATCTCCTAGAGATACGGTGCACAGAAAAACAGCAACTCTATATGAATTCTGTTAAAATTAATGATTTTATGAAACATAAATTATTATATTTAATCACATGAAAAGTAATATTTTATATTTGTTATTGTTTTATATATTTATATTTTGTTTTATATATTTATATTTTGTTATGTAATTGTTTCATATTTATTACATTTTGTTTTTAAAAGTTTATGTAAAATGTTTTAAATGAATTCTTTTTTTCCTTTCAGATTTCTTTATAGAGTCTTGCAATGGACATTCTGGCCTACTGATGTTATCAATGCAAAAATCCAAACTAAATTCCAAAATAGAGAGCTACCTTTAGAAGAAGAAATAGATTTACCTGAAAATCCCAAACCATTCCTAAGAGGAACACAAACCTGGTCTCCAAACAGTGCTAGATCTCATTACCTCTATCAAGAGAGCAAACCCATAAGCAAAGTGAAAATAACTTCAATATCCCATAGAATATGATATTTTTTATAGTATTTATTCTACTTCATTCATGTTTTAAACATTTTGATAACTCTGAATGATAAAAGTATATTCATACTTATGTGTAATGTTTATATAACATATAACCCAGTCTATGAGCTGATCATATTTCTGACCAATGAAATGATTGTATTAGCCCATTAATAGACTGGACCATAAGCTGTTCATTTTGATCTTGCTTGATATAATGAACCATGCTTCAAATGCACTAATTGAATGGTCCAAACTTGATTGTATTACTCCTTGTATTAAGAACATTAAAGGTATTGATTAACCCTGCATTCAAAAGTGCTAATAAATTAAAACAGATGAAAACTTTTAAATAGATCATCTTTATTACAAGATTGAGTTTCAAATAATAAATGAACTTAGTCACGCTGAATAAGGCTCAAATCAGACAACTCTGATTTTTAAAATCTTTTGTGTGACTTGTCCTTTAGGACTTCATTGCTCTTCTCTCCCAAACACACAGACACACACACACACACACATATATATATATATATATATATATATATATATATATAACTATTTGATTTATATTTTAATGTTTCTCAGGTAGATGGTTAATTGTTTGTTTTCACTTGTTTTTGATATTTTCCAAAATGTACTAATTTTGTTGAAAGATTTTAGTGTACGTCTATCCAGAATATGAGCCAGATTAAAAAAAAACAAAACAAAAAAATACAAACACTGAAGATATGTTTCTCTTCAATTTGCCCAAAACAAAATCAGATAACCTAAAATCATAAACATATCATGTATGTGTACATGTTCAGACTTATTGCAAATCAATGATGGAATAATTGAGATGATGACAGTAATGTGTGGCCCACAGTTATTTTTGTTTCACTTTGTATGATTTATAAGTTTAAAAAAATTAATCCTTATTGATGAAGGATCTTAAAATAATTTTATGTTTAAAAAAATTAAAATATTTTATTGATACTTTTTGTCACTCTTTTTTATTATCTTTTTTATTATTCTTTGAATTGAGTTTCTTCAATTTTGTTCCTTTTTAATGTTTTATTTCTTTAAAATTTTCTAGGACTTATTTAATGTATTGCTTTCAGAGGAAAAATGGATTTTTTTGTTTCAGAAGAAATAAGTTTTTATGACATAAGAACCACAAGGAAAATATGAGTCATATGATTTTCTTCTTGTAGTCCTTTTCTATACATTAAATATCCAAGTACAATTACTCTATTTACTGACATATAACACCTCCCACCATTTACATTTAATATTACAGTATTATAGAGTTAGATTAAGTACTAATAGTTTATAGTATCTGAGTAAAACATTAGAATATTAGATAACCTAATTTTGCATATAAGATCTGGGATATTTTTAGATCCATTTTTTAAAAGGGATCTTGTATGCTATTAAATATGATAATTAAAAAGAAATGCATTAATCTTCTAATTCTTTGGGAAACTGGTAGCAAAGTTTGTTCAAGAAGAAACATTTTAAAAAATTTGTAAAACTGACTTCATCTGTGCATCTCTATTTGTTTGCAGAGATGGATTGGGATGGGTCAAACAGTATTGATAGAACAAATATCTATTGGTCTTTTTAATATTTGAAAATATCCAATAACTACAAATAGATAAGACATACCATAATGTATTCGATTCCAAATTAACTTTTAATTCAAAAAAAAGTCTTTATCTAATTCAAGTAATAAAGAATTTTTTCAGTAAAGAATTCATCTGTTGAAAACATTTCTGTGCTACTTTCTGGAGAAAATTCTAATGCAATATTGCTATTTATTTCTGCAGTCTTTTACACCCACTAAGCAATATTATTGGAAAAGATTTGTTACAACTAATTCCAAAACAATAAGACACTTGTAGTGAATCTGATAAAAATAAAATATGTAAACAAAAATAAAAAGAATTCAAATTAAAATAAGGCATTTGTGCTTTCCTTAAAACCCTTATCTCTTTCTTTCTCTTGCTAAAACCTCTCTCTCTCTCTCTCTCTCTCTCTATATATATATATATATATATATATATATATATATATATATATATATACTTCTCTCTAAACTACTGAGAAGGCAACAAATACAAAGAGGAAGAAGAAGAAATGAATGAACTCTGATGAAAAACTCTGGATATTTGAAAAATCAGAGACTATTTATTTGGGACTGAAAAATACCAAATATCAAGGGATGCTCCACACATAACTGACATATAAAGAAATAGTTAAGAGGTTATCTGCTAATGATATTTCTGTCCGGCTTACAAGAACACAGTAGATTGATATTGACCTATTTCTATGATTACTACTACCCTTATCATGGTCTTACTTTCAAACACCACTACTGGACATTTCTCCAAACTGCTGCCAATAACTACCTTATAAACAAACATTTTGCTACATTGAATATCAAAGGACTCACTCAACATTCTAAAAAAATAAATAAAAATATAATTTATTTTATACCCTTGAGTCAGTTCATTTTATTCCAAAGTTTCCAGTAAAGAAAATCCTACCAACACTAAATCCACAGACTTAATACAAAACAAAATAATAACAATATAAAGCCTGAAGCAGGAATTTATATTATAAACTTTAATAAAAAGTCACAAAAACATCTGGAAGTCTAAATAAAAGAATATACCAATACAAAAGGGATCTTTTAAACAACAACACACTCAATGCATTAGTTGTTCATCATAATAAGTTTGACCATAATTATGACTTCAAGAATACAGTTTTAATTATAGGAGAAAAATATTTATCAAAGCAAAAATGTACAGAAAGTGTATTAATTTCTGAGTTTTCCATGGTAAGTTTACATTTAGGTTCATACAGCATATCATCTTTCTTAACAAAACTATTGCTGTTATGCTGTGAGATAAAAACAACGTTGATAAAAATAAAAGTGGTAGAAAACTGAACAATATCAACTAGGTTGTTCATGTAAGCACATTAGACACCAGAAATTTAAATTTAAACATCTCTTCATTTTCGGTGTTTTTAAAAGGATTTTTTTTTCTAGGATACGAGAAAAGAGAACGTCACATCTCTTAAGTGAAAGGTGCAAAAGAAAATAAACAAGACTTATACGCCAATGTGAAACATTTATTACATGACATAAAAAATAATAAAACAGAATACAATTTTACAATACAAGGTTGCACAATATTTTCTTTTTTGCACCCTACAGTTAGGCGAGATAAGTTCTAAAATCAACTTGTTAGACTCATAAAACGGGTATAAATTTTCACTTAATTTCATACATTCAACAATCTTTGAGACGAATGTTAAAATCACAAGCCTCATTGGGTGAATAAGAGAATAGTTCAGTTTTTAAACTGAAAGTCAAAGCTGAGATAAAATATTAAAAGTTCAAAATCAGGGTTAAGACATCATTTTGTGAATATTCTTCCAGTTTTCTTTCTGCTTCTCTTTCATATTTTTCTGAATTCTTTTTCTGTTTCTTCTCTTTCATCATTCAGAAACAGCCCATGGTCATTTGCCTGTGGATGCCAAAAATCTATCTGGTCCTTAGACCAACTCAACTTCTTAAACTGGCCCTAGATTCAATCCAGTTTTGAAATTTATGCAGCATAACCTTTCCCCATTGGTTAAAAATCCCAAAATATGTATCTTTTTAAACCATGCCTGTTTAAACTATATTTTTGCCAGTTTTCAGACCATAAGACTTGTGCCTCTTTTTTGGCTAATTTGAAAACCAAATTTTACACATCAAATTTATTCATGTCGTTTTTTTATTAACTGTCTTTCCTTTTATAATTATTTTTTAAACACTCCTCTCAAAAGAAAGTGCAATAAACAAACTTAATCTATTGTATCATTACTATTTTCTTATATTCTCTTTTTACTAATCTTTTATATAATTTACATATTTTTTATTATATAATTTTTTTTTTATAGTTTCTCTCGAAATGTTTGTACTTCATTCCCTCCTCTTTCATATATATGATTTCATATATTATGAAATGGACAAAGTCCGACAATTATTTAAGACAATTTTTATGTTTATACATTCTTTTTATAGATACAAATATTTAAGTAAATGCTCTGCTTATAAGAAACAGTATTAACAACATTTACCAGCCTGAATGTCCAAGAAATTTTCATAGAAAATATGCATCCTCCAACAGGAATCGAACATGTATCCTATATGGAACCATCATATAGCCTGACGTGCCTTAACCGATTGGGCCACAGAAGAGCGTTCAGTTAGCAAGGTTGATTTTACTGTTTTTAAACACAATTCTCCATGATTTTCTCCCATTCATTCATAGCTGTTCAAATGAAATCATACATTATGAAATGGGCAAAGTCCGACAATTAATTAAGACGTTTTTTATGTTTATACATTCTTTTTATAGATACAAATATTTAAGTAAATGCTCTGTTTATAATAAACAGTATTAACATTTACCAGCCTGAATATATATAGAAAATATGCATCCTCCGAATTGTCAGACTTTGTTATAAACAGAGCATTTACTTAACTATTTGTATCTATAAAAAGAACATATCAACATAAAAAATGTCTTAAATATATATGATTCCATCAATAAAACATTATTTAATCTGAAAACATCTATTTGAAGGATGAAAAGTGTTACATAAAATTTTTTCTATTTTCTCATTTGTTGTTTAAAGTCTTGCCCCCCACACCATAAAAAATGCTTTATTACAAAACATTTTTTTCCAGCTGAACACTCCTTGAATTAGCTTTTTTTTTTTTTAATCATTGTTCTGATGATTGCTTTTTAAAGATATTAATGATATTGTCTGGAAATCCTTATCTCAATAAATGGTAAACATTGTGAAGTTGATGAAACTGATGAAAAATGTAAAAATTGACCTTTTATACCTTTAAATGATGAAAATTAATGTTCTTTGTCCAGGAAAATTTAAACTCTTCCAAGAAAAATGATTGTAACAATTTTTAAGAGCAACTATCCTTTATAGTTGATTAGTGATACTTA